TCTTACTGATAACCCAATGAAGCCCTCGTATATTGCGCCTATCCTTTGCGGACTATGATAAGGCATTTGATTCATTGTAAATTGATGCTGTCGTCCAGGCTCTTACAAACAGAGGCCGATATATAAATGTAATATTAATTTTTTTAAAATGGAACAGCTAAACTGAAATTGTGTGAAGAAAGTAGCAAAATATTGGAAGGTGAACAAGAAAAGGATACACACTTTCACAAAATGCACCATTAGCAGATGTGTTACTAAAATCTTATCTGAGAAACAAAAGCGCAGGTAATGGCACAACATTCTGATTGGAAATTAGAGAATTATTTCAGAAGGCCGCCAAAATTGGGCTGAAGATAAAACTGGACAAAATAAAGGCCATGTACAACAATTTCACTAAACAAGTGAAGATATCTATCAGAGGGACACAACTGACAAAACACTTAGGGCAGTGCTTAAAAGTGGACCAGCATGTGAATAGAGACGGACAAGAGGGGGTTGTGCTTTTATACAACTGAAATTGATATTGAAGAGCAACGTTCAGTAAAAATGTTCCTAAATAATAATAATGGCACTGAATTTATCAGTGTGTATTGTCTGACATGGCATATGAATCAGAAACATGGACGTTCACAAGAAAAATGAAATAATATCTGAAAAAGTACAAAGAAGTGTGCAAAAGTGCATGCTTATAATTATAATGAGAGACAAATATAGAAATTTGGGGATTAGGGAGTATACATAAGTTAGAGACATCATGCTGACTGAATTGGTGGGCTGAGTCAGGACGAGCTACTAGAATGGATGATACCTGGTCAATAATAATGACAAAGTCGCAGCCAAATGAGGTTACAACAACAACCGCCATTCACCACTAAGTGATGGTGACGTTACCACGATGCTTGTGCCAGGCTATGTGCATGTTGAGGCCACATGAAGTGTGGAACACCTGCTGGCAGGAGGTGTTGGGGCAGACCAAGGTGCCACGGGTCGACTGACTGAGATGACTGGCTGATGCACCACCTGTGCCCCCTACTGTGCTAACTTGCTGTGCTTTAGCCACCCGGCGCTCCACTCGTTGTTGTGAGCTTTGCTCCTCCCCCCTCCGCTGTTGTTGGAGGGCGACTGCCTCCAATTGTCCAGTAGCGTCTTTCACGAGCCTCCTCCACAGAGGCCGATCTTGACACCGCTGGTACAAGTCATCGGCAAGTCCACTCAGCTCCAATTCCTCCTGTGCCACATCACTCCATCGATCTGGCCAAACAAAAGCTGTTTAGGCATGCGGTGGCTGGGCATGTGGGCTACATGACCCAGCCAACGCCAGAGGAGCTCACCAATGGGACTTTGTCCAGATCTTTCAAGGATATGTGAGCTCCTCACACAATCCAGCCTGGTTAAACCCAGGATGGATCGTAGGCAGGCCAACCTAAATGTTTCTAAACAGTAAAGATGTTCCATTAGGGGGGTCCACGTTTCACAACCGTAGAGCAGGGAATGAATGACTGTGGCTGAGAAAACCTGAAGGTTCGTGTGGAGCGACAGATCAGGCAGCTTCCACACAGCGTTACACAACCGATGAAAAGATAATGCTGCTCGACTGATTCGGAGTGGGACCTCTGCTGTCAAACCGGAGCCGGTCATGAGCACACTGCCTAGGTATGGGAAACTCTCCACTCTCTCCACAATTGCTCTACCACCAATTGGGAGTTGTGGGGGTGGAGTGTCCGATGGTACAAAATACCCAGGCAGATGCTTAGTTTGGTGAGGCTGATGATAAGTCCCCCACCTCTTAGTGGAAAGCTCCAGGTTCAGCAGCAGTGCCTCCAACTCCTCCTCTGTGTGAGCAGCAATTACCAGATTATTGGCATACATAACATGGTTAAACAATAGGAAGTCATCCCTTGACCGCACCCGGGATTCGATCAGCCTCCCATTGTATCTGTACCAGATGGAAATTCCTCCGGTACAGCTATTGAAGGCTTCACGAACTACGTGGTCAAAATAGATGTTAAATAATGTGGGAGCCAGAGGACATCCCTGTCGCACCCCAAAGTGAACAGGGAATGGCTCCGACTCCCGGCCACGTAGTTTTACCCGGACTCACTCACCATCATGAAGGTCCTTAATGATTGTGAGCAGCGGGTCAGGGACTTCGAAAGCACGAACAACCCCGAGCCCAGGCCTACTGATGGTATCATAGGCCTTGACGAGGTTAATAAAGCAGAGATGTAGGTCTTGTTGGAATTCCTTACAACTCTGCTGTAGCAGACGGACAGAAAATATGGCATCTGTGCAGGACCGCCTTTTCCTGAATCCGCATTGGGGCTCCGCAAGCCTCTCCTCAGCATGCCTGGCAAGGCGATGTTGAATCATCTTTTGCCAGGACCTTTCCTGGCAAACGGAGGAGTGAGATGCCCCTGTAGTTGTTACAGTTTGTGTGGACCCCCTTCTAAAAGAGGGGGACCACCAGGGTATCCTTCCAATCCTGCAGAACCCATCCAGTGGTCCAGACTGTTGTTATAATGTCATATAGGGCAATCTGTGCACAAACGTCACCCTCGCTCAGCATTTCGCTTTGGAGATCATCTCTGCCTGGTGCCTTTCCTGGTCTCAGGCTCTGGATCGCCTTCAGTATTTCCTCAACAGTCGGCACCTCAGCCAGCCACTCACAGGGGGTGACTTCTTCTTCCAATATTTGAGGCACTGCAGCCTCAGGAACTCACAGAAATGCTCAGCAAATCTGCAAATCTGTTCCTGGGGGTCGGAGATTGGATCACCGTTCTTTCCCCTAACAATGGTAATAGGTGTGGCGCTGCAGGTTACTTTTTTGATGGAATTAAAGAGTGATTTGTGACCACGGGCCATTGAGGCAGACTCAATCTCCTCAGCAACCCGCGACCACCAACCATCCTTGCAGCGCCTCACGGCTCTCCAAACCTCCGAGTGAAGGTTGCGGTAAGCCTCCTCATTCTCTGATGTGGGATGCTCTAGATGATGAGAGTGGGCCTGTCGCTTTTTCTCAGCCAGCCTGAACACCTCCTCTGTCAGTCAGGGTCTCTGAGGAGGTCTTGAACGTGTACCAAACGCAGCCATTGCAGCTGCATGACCCACAATCCTAAACCTCACCCATTTCCCCTCGACATCAGGAGGAGTGGGGGATGATGCCAACCCCAGCCGCAAGCGATGATAAAATTCTCGCTGGCATCTTTCATCAGCTACTATCTGTTTTAATGGGGTCCTGGGTGTACACCCACCACCGGAGTGGAAGAATGGCAGGTGGATCTTACAGATGACAAGTCGATGGTCAGTGGGCAGATCAGCTCCACGGTCGGTCCTGGTGTCAAGGACATGGGCCCACATCTGCTATTCCATCACTATTTAGTCCAGCAGATGTTCTTGCTTGGACCCGCCATGCATCCATGATGTTGTGTGGATGTGCCGATGCTGGAACAGCGTGTTTGTAATTACAAGCCCATAGGCTGCACAAAAATCTAACAGCCTCCTACCATTGTTATTGAGCTGATCTGACCCATGTCTTCCAATCACTCCAGACCAGGTGCTAGCATCATGACCAACTTGGACATTGAAGTCACCCAACAAGATCACTCTATCTCGAGGGGCCACTTTAGCCAGCACCTATGACAGGAGGTCATAGAAGGCATCTGACTCATTGGCCTTGCCTGCATCCCTCCATGGATGTTCATCTTCGGTGGGGGCATAAATAACCACGACCACCACTCCTTGCCTATGGTTGATGGGAAGGCGAGCCCAAAATAGCCTGGAGCTTACAGCTTCACACACCTCACCGCCATGCTCCCACGCCCCTTTTTGTTCAGAATAAGAGCCACTCCTTATTGTTTGGCAGTCTCCTGCCCCAAGTAGAGGGACTGTCCACCCCTCACGGTGGCAGGAGCCAGAGCCGGTCCACTGGACCTCCTGAATACCACAGAGGTCCAGGCGGTACTGGTCCAGCTCCCAACAGAGGAGTGGCAGCCTCTCCTCCATAGTGAGCATTTAAACATTCCACGTGGCCATCCGTAGTGGCTTTTTGCTGGAGGAGCCCCGAGGGTAAGGATCCAGTCTCCTGGCTCCGCCAAATGGGGTATGGCCAGGAGACGTCATAAACGCCTGTCCCCACAGGGCCTCTGGCACAAGATTAATAAATGTTTTACCTCATAATTTAGTGGTAGTTAAATTGAAGGTGGAGGGGTCACCAGCCTCTCGCACCCATCCAGAGCCCCCATTTGGACGCTGTGGTGGTTACAAACGCCATGAAGGGAAAAGGCCAATCTCAATTGGTCCTCCCCCATGGCACTGCCCACCACAACATTGCCGTTGAAGCGAACACACCCGAGAGGACATCCATAAGGTAGACGTAGCGATGTAATCAGCTCATGTGTATGTGTTGGATGCATTGTTGCATCGCAGAACTGTGAGAGATGACAGCTTGAGGAGGCTTTCATGCAGTAGTGAATTGATCATGGCTGATGATGATGAAAATTAATATTTTCTTTAAGTTATATTACAGTGACCGTGAGATTATGTACGCATCCTTGCAAATCCGGATTTTTGTTGTTGTTATTCACGTGAAACCTCGCTTAATTTAATCCAGATTAGCGGCAATCCACTGTTTAACACATGCACACACGGATACATTTGTGGATGCATACATATGCATTGTGATTCCCAACGCAGGTTTTCTTACTCTAATCAAGTAATAAACAAAAACGTACAATATTTGAGCAAATCCTATTTTCTTGATAAGTGAAGTATTGCTGTGTGTGATATTATTTATGTTATAGTTTTAACTGCACTCAGTCATTAACAAAAATAACAATATCCCTCTGCTCAAAATTTATGGAGACAGCAAACACGGTGCACAGATAAAAATGCAGCACATAAACTATGAAAACTTGATAACCCTGAACACTAGAATTAATTTGGCTTTATATTGTAATGACATATTCAAGTACAACAAAACTGTTTTTTTGTTGCCTTGTCAGGAGATGCCCGAAAAACAGAAGACGGCGGTAAAAGTGAATTGTACGCTTTCTTCAAAAAGAACAACAGAAACTTCAAAGTGTGAAACACTCCAATGGCTCACTTCCCATGCCACCAGTAAACCTGCCCATGGCATTGATTGGGAATAGCCACTTTGGGATCACTAATACAAATGTGATGTGCTGGTGGGGCTTGAGAGAATTTTTAAGAAATCAAGTTTGCAAGGAAAAGTTTTTTTTTAAGCATTCACCGCAAGGCTCTCACATGTCTCCCCATATCCCATGATGCTCCTGCATCCCCGTGGCCCCATGTTGAACATCTGAACGCTGTGCCATCTGAGTAAGTGAGTACGTGCGAGGTGCCTGTCCCCACCATGGCCCTGTGATGAGGACTAACTTGAGAGCCAGGGCTGCACGTCGGTTCATGCGGCTCGCTTCATGTGCCACTATTCATTGTAAATAAACAGGTGAGGCGTATGTTACATCGCCTTACTTGTTTATCGATGAATTATTATTACCTACAATCTGCCAAGGCAGTACATATTTATATTGTTCGATGTCATTTATTTCTGTGGTGAGTTAATATATTGTCCACTTTTCTATTTATTTTCTTTTGCCAACTTTCATTTTGCATAACGAGTCGACAAAATAAATTTTAACGTGTAAGAAAAGGTTGGGTTATTCTTAAATGGCTACTTTGCCAATTGCTTTTGTTTATATAAACCCATGTACAGTAATTACCAATAGTGTGCAGAATCATTCCCCTCTGGTAATGCGTTTGGATAAGCCCTCTGCTAGTTTGGAAAGCTGTCGTTGTTGTACGTACTGATCTGTGTGTTCAATAAGAAGTGTAAAAACAACTATAATGGGCAAACCCAATGTTAAATTACCCAGCAAGGCCCAGTGGCATGCACACAATCCATAGAAGGGTGGTGGGGGGGATGGAGGACAAAGAGGTTAAAGAATTCCTACAAGGTTGCTAAGCAAATCGTTAATTTGCATACAGCATGACTGCTACGACCCAGATGTGCCATCCTGAACGATCCACAGATTACATACACGGAGCTCGGCTCATAAACCAGATTATTGCTCCTGCAGGTACCCCCTGGAGCAGGATTTTGTGCAGGCCACTCATGAGGTCACTTCAAAATAGATCGTGTAGAATTCCTTTCTGAAATTTGCTTCAAGCATCTGTTTTTTGTGTGACCTGCTTGAAATTGCAAAAAACATGTAAATAAAATGAGTTTTGTGTTGTTATCGGCTGTGCTGTTATTTGCCCATAATGTTGTGGCTCGCGGAGTGCATTATGCAGTGAAGTGTAGACATATTTTGCCTGCCAACCACTGCACGAACAAGTAACTGTGCCCATAAAAGATCTTTATTACAGAATTTCTCAACCTCAAATATGTTGCACACTCGAAATGAAGGACGTGGGCAGGTGTTCCAAATCGAGGGCAAACACATTTATTGTGGTAAATCTGTAAAATGCAACAGCACGTGTGTCACACACAGCAATCTTCAACCGAGTTGCCATTAACCATGTGACTGGTGTCCAAGTGCGGTTAATCAATCACAGTTTATCTTAAGCCCAATTCTACTATTGATAAACCATCTTTGTCTATGACAGTAACCTTTGCACTTAACTATTCGCATATTACTTTAATCCTAAGCTGTATGTATATCTATATCATCATCTTACATTGGTATCTTACACCCATTACCTGTACTGTATGTGTACAATATACGTACTGTACTTGTCACCATTGGACCACTCACGACTGTACATGTGTTCTATTCTCAATAGCATTGCAAGTAGTCATATTCTGGGTGCATGGACATGGTTATAGAATAAACAGTAATAGGGTTAGAGAATTACAATGACAGTACGTAATTATAGTACGTCATCCTTTACAGTGCACAGTGCTAAAACCCCTCCTATTGGATATATCACAAACTAACAAGTCAAAGCCAAGCTTGAAGTCTAGAAGAAGTCTAGAACATTTATATAACGATGAAAAACAACCTTTGGGTCCTTTACCTGTAAAATGCAACAGCACGTGTGTCACACACAGCAATCTTCAACCGAGTCGCCATTAACCATGTGACTGGTGTACAAGTCCGGTTAATCAATAACCCCGCCAGCCCCCTACAGGCCCAACTCCGTTATCGCATGCTGGTGTACACACCTGCATCGATGTACTGCACAGCACATAAGGACTTTCACGAATACATAATTAAAAGAGTGGTCCATTCCTAATGTGCCACAAATGTAAAAAGCTTGCTGGTAATCATGACTTGTACCAATGACTTAAATTCCATAAAAAGCAGGTCCGGTAAAGACCAGGCAGACGAGAAGGAGTTTCATCAAAGATGCCGTGTTGTTTTACAATCTGCTAACGGATATTTTTGCACTGCCACAGCTCGCTGATTAAAGCTTCTCGCATTCCCTCCCAATGCGTGTGCCGCCACCTAATGGTTGAACAATTTGAGGCCAGTTCTCTTAGCAGCAGATTGAGCGCCGCATAACAAATGCGGCGCTCCCAGACTCCACAATCCCACGCACTGCCCCTTCTCCTCCTCCTCCTCCCACCATTCCCATCTCCACCCACGTTCCCCCGCCCCCTCCTCACTCCTCATCTGCCAAATCCGTCCCTGCTGGTTGTGTGTGGGCTACAGGGTGTGGCTGCCACATCCCTTGCACGCCATCTGCATAGTGTTATGCACGCTCATGTGAGTCTTTCGTCCATGTCGCTCAAAGTGCTTTTTTTGGGGGGTGGATTATGCACATTCATTCCCCACATTCACACACAATCGTATGGATGCCTAACAATAATAATGATTTGTATGTCCGATTGAGAAGGGCCATTTCCCGAAACGTCACTTAAAATCTATTTTCTTTGTAAGGCGGTGTCATTGACGAATGTGTTCTTTGTGCTTGTCCACCACTGCTAACACAGCATCATCAAATACTTTGGGTCAATAATATGCTTCGCAAGACAAGCATGATATTTTAAAACAGTTTGGTAATGATACTACCAAGCTAATTATACACATTACGTTAATAATCCCGTAATAATGTTTGGGAAATGCAAATATTTCAATTATGTACGTTGCTGCAATATACATTAATATTTTAGCTGCTGCAGACTACTTTTATTGTGCATTTCTAGTTCTTAGCCTCGGGCATGACAATTCCAAGAATTATCAAACTTAGATGTAGATAAAGCCTGTTGACTGAAAACTGATGGTGATGATAACTTGTGAACGGATTTAGGACCCTTTGCTGGCCCCAAGCATCTTAAACGCAGTGTATTGGTACAGATAGATGACGGTGGTTGTGAAGATGATGATGATAGCATCAGCCCTGCTGGACATCTACAATCGTTATTACAATTGTATGTCCACTGTTGCCACAACAGGCCGTTTCTTTGGCAAAGATATTGTGCGGAGGACTGTGCCGCAAGCCCAAGCCAAACAGGACGAATGTTTCAAATAAAAATTTCAACAAACCTCCCCCCACACACGCGCACCAGAACCCACGCCCCAGTCCGCATAACCACGCGTTGAGAAAACAAAAAATACACTCCCAAACCAGGACCCAGTGGTCATGCATTGCTGATTAAGACAAAATAAAACTCGGTATGCTCTGTTGGTGTGCCTTGTTTGGGTAGTGGGAAATCAGCCCCTTCCAAATGCAAAATGCGTAGTCAAGTCGAAATATGTTGCTAAGACCTTTCATGCGTAGGGGGTGAAAGCTAGCACAGAACACACGATGGAAACACGCATATACTGTTCGTCATTCTGTGTAGCGTTTGACATTTGTTTATAGTTTTAGCATTGTGTCGTGCGCCATGCGTTTTTGTATGCCTCCCTTTAGACAAGTTCACTCTACAGGGTTGGTGTGGATACTGCCCTTTAACACTACAACCAATAAATCTGAGCTTGAGCAATATTATCAGTGGACAACTATAAGATTATTCTCTTGAAAACGTGAGGCCTTCCCAAAAATATGTTAAGACTAAAATAAGTATTAATACACAATAAAAAAAGCATAACCCTATATCCTTCGTAGATGCTTAAATCCTTCTTTAACTGTGCACTGCGCAGTGGCGTGTCGATATTGGGAGATGCTGCGTATTGAAAGACAGAAAGGTTCAGGCACACTTGAAATAACCCCTATCCCAAGGGCTTTGGCAACGCCCGTGTGTCATCTCCTGTATGACACAAGTCTCTGGATATCGCTGCCTTACAATGGTGCCGGCACAATATTAAATCTGTGGGATCTGCCTATTATATGTTACGTGTGTTTTTAGTATGTATGAGGTAAAGATCAGATTCCACCTCTATACACATATATTTATAACAATAAAAAAGTCCTTTATTGCTCTACTGCTGGATGAAGGCCTCCTCACGCCATGTCGGTTATGGGAATGTTTTTTTTACCATGCACGTGTGGGTTAGGTTTTTACATTTCACTTTTGGCACAGGTGAAAGCCATTGTTCGTTTTTGATGGGGACATGATGAAGGAGGGGGAGGGACAGGACCGATTCAGACATTACCACAACTCACACACAGAGTGGGGGCACTGCATAAGATAAGCAAGAGCTTGTGGGGGTCCACGCAGCTCAATTGGCTCCGGATTTATGAAAAAAAGTCAGTCACAAGTGAGATCGCAACAAACATAAAAAGACGATTAACATAGCACGCGAATTAATCTCTCTCATCTCCCACATTGTCGGCAGTCCCCGTCTTTCATATTCTTACATCTGTTCTTGTCTCGATCTTTCTCATGTTTCAGTCACATCGGTTTCGACTGTATCTCTCTTCCCTTATCTCACCACACCTCTTATCTTCTCTCCACATATCTCTATCATCTCGCTACACCTCTGTCTCTCGTCTAAATCTCTCTTCTGTCATCTCGCGAGAAGTTTATAACATTAAGGGGGAAGGCAAGTCCAAACATACTTCTGCTTAAGGACACCGCCCCCTACCTCCCCCCCCAAATGGACTGACACCACCACTGCTAAACACACATACCTACCATACGCGCTTGTTGTATAACCTACACCATAACTATCTGTGCACAGTGGACAGGCATCAGGCATAGACGCACGCGCGTTTAAAAAAAAAACCCAAAAATGCGAGGAATGGCGAACGATACTTCAAACGACCCACGAGTGTTTGGTGCGCCTCTTAACAACGGCGCGGCGACAGGAGCTCCAAGAATATCTCCGTTATTTCCAGTGGGAGTTTTAATAAAGTAGAAGGAGAAGGCGGTGTGGATGGGGGGGGGTGAAGAAAAAAAAGTCTTGGATTTTTTTGTCGAGGTGGGTGGACAGGAGTGGTGGCGCTTGGTGGTGGTGGTGGGGGGGGGTTGTGATGGGGGGCGCCAGGCATTCCTTCCACATTCGTGGCGCACACTGGCGGGGCAGAAGTCCGGGCTCACACCCTGGTGTTTGTCCGCCCAGAGTTTGTGAAATATTTTCCAGTAATCGGAGCCAGGCGGGTCCCCGCGTTTTAAGCGCTCCCCGCTCGGGATACCCCGCAGTTGCCAAGCCGTGCAAGAGTCGTCTCCTCCACGCAGTCCTCCTTCTCCCTCAGCTCACCACAACCTCCACCACCACCACCAGCAACCACCACAACAAACAAACACGTTTCCACGGGTCCAGTTCCCTGTGCACGTGTGCGCAGTGCCCGTCAGTCGGAGCGCGTGTTCTTGCAGTGGTGCGGCGCTCTCATAGATATCAGCCATGGGTGATGATGGAGCACGGGAGGTGATGGTGGCATCCAACAGCCAGCCCAGTGCACAGTTGGACGGCGAGGTCGCGTCCAGCCCTGGCGCTCAGTTGATCCTCGAAGAGGCGGCCTCCACCCCCGAGCCAACCGGCAAAGGCAGCTCCTCCACGAGCCCCGAGAGCCTGAGCACGCCCGTGTACAGCCCCGAGGCCAGCGTCCCGGCCTCCGGCTTCGAGGCAGGTGCGTCCACCTCCGAGCCGAGCGGCAAGGCAGCCTCCAGCCCACCCAGAAATGGTGTGCTGGAGGAGCCGAGCGTCGGCAAGCGGGACGCCAGCCTGGCACGCACGGACAAGAGCCAGGACTCGAGCCCCAACCTGAGCCCAAATCAGAGTCCCGTGGGCAGCCTCATCCGCGACAGCTCGCAGGTGAACGCCATCAGCGTGCTCACGCTGCTGGACAAGCTGCTGCACATGGTGGAGGGCGTGCAGGAGGCGCAGCACTCGATGGAGGCGCGGCAGGGCGAGGTGGAGAAAGCCGTGAGCCTCATCCAGGGCGAGGTGGCCGACTTCTCGAAGGCGCAAGCCGAGACGGGTGCCACAGTGAGACAGGTGCTGGACAAGGCCCGCAAGGTGAGCGCCAACGTGAAGGACGTGCGCGCTCGCCTGGAGAAGCAGAGCCACGACGTGAAGAAGCTCGAGAACAACCACGCCGAGCTCATCAAGAGGAGCAACTTTCGCATCATGGTCTACCAGGTAAAAAAAAAAGACAACCACTCACTCCGCCTCGCTCTCCTTCACTACTCTAACACAAGACGTGTGCATCGTGCGAGCGTTCATTGATCTGCACGTGTAACGCACTCACATGCGGTTCACTGCGTTAAAACACAAACATCATCGCAATCGTCATCGCCATCAATTTTTCCCTAACCGCTTGTGCATGAAATTGAAGGCTGATTTTACGCATAACGCTTCGGTCGTGCGTAACACCACCCTTTAATTGATACGTGGCTTTTTTTTACTTTTTGGTGCACCCCCCCCCCCCCCAAAAAAAAAGCACACTTGTAAAATTCGTTTCAAGTGAGCCGAGTGATCGTTTATGAATATTCAATCCGAGTCAAGGTACATTAATGTGATAAATTTGTTCATACGTTTCCAACGCTTTGAAACGGGCTTGATGTGAATTTAAATTTCACACCAAGCGTAGCAGACACGTGTCGCGTACACATGTTCACTGCCTTTTAATTAATCAAGTAATTAACCAAAACAGATTAAAAACAAATCGCTTACTCGTAAAAAAAATTTGCTCTCTAATCTACGTTTTTTTACATTCTTTTTTAAGATTTGCCGAGTGTAGATACCACGCTTTTTTTATTGCAGCTGCTATTGCAATTTGTACCGTTTTTTTGCCGTGTCTGGTTGAGTCCGGTCTTGTACAGCGGAACTCACTGAAATTCAGTTGCGCACTTTCAACTTCAAAAAGGGATACAATATTTACAGGTTCTGCACCACACATGAGCACCAATCCCTCTTGACCGGTTTAATGTATAAAATAATATAAAACAGACAATACACGACTAAATAGCCAGAAAAAAAGACCAACGTTCCTAGCAACACACCATGTGCTGGACGTTCTGACAGGTCAACCGTCAAAACTTAGACTTTTTCTAACGGTCAATTTTGCTGCAATCTAATGAGGTTATCTATGTAATGTGTTCAGATGAGTTACTTTACATAATGTATGCTGCCTTTGTTCAGCAGCCTCTCTATAGTGATATGGTCTATATGAATACGGATATTCATTAGTTTCCGATTAATATACTTTTCCGCCCTGATACGAGTCTTTAGCAAACACCATTGAAGAGACATTTGTTATTTTAGCCTTCCCAGGTCACACAGATGGGTTTCCTGCTCGTCACTTGAACTGACTCCTATTTTTCCAGGTTTTTTATAGCTACGAATTCATCTTCCATCATAAAATCCCACTGAGGATGACCTATACACGGTGCTAATTTCTCCTGAGGCTGGTGTGTTTTCTTAGGATATTAGAGAGTCCACACAGGTCCCAGCCTGCATATAACCTCCGTTGCCTTTACATTTGTATGAGTAACTTTAGCTCATAAACCAGTGTGCATTGTGGGAATGACATCGGCAGTGAAGTGCTATCCAAAAGAAAAATGGTTTTGTCCTAAAACAAAGGCGCAAGGTATGTTCTTATTCCATATACAGCCTTGTAGGTCAAGGTCGGCCATGTGCAGCTGCTCAGTGAGCTGCACCAGGTCAAATATATATCCCAAGGGGGATGTCCGTCATAGAGGGAGCTACCCATCAGCACTCAAAAGGAATTTGGGCAAAATGTGGGTGTCATATCAGAGATCCGGCATGGAAACGCTGCACAGCTAGATAACCCGGCGTGGTTGTAACATTGCCTCTCCCCACCGCCTCTTCCTCACCTCCCACCTCCTCTGGACTCGCTTTAAATGATTGACTCTCAATAGAGATGAGTTGAGCTCCCCCAAAACACACTTGGCATTATGATTTATAAATAATGAGATCTGGCTGTCAGTGTGGCTACAATGCTTTAAATGAATTGTGTTGAATCTTCACTGACGCGCCATTAAAACCTCTCAGTCCTGCGGTATCTCACCAAACTGGGGCAGGCGTTCAAACGTTGTGTGGCTTTCACAGCTTAGCTAGCTGCTATCGCACCAAGTGCCACGCCTACATGCAGGGTGGCTGCGTAAATAATACGGGTTGTGTTTCTATTTGGCTGCTGCGCTGGCAATACTGTGTGCCCTGTTATACCCATTTGTGGGTGGGCAGCGCGCGTGACAGCCCACGGCACCCGCTTGGGCGACCTCCACACACAATGGAGACGCACGCAGACACGAAAATACAACCGTACACGTATATACATAGATATACAGATGTGCAATGCACACGAACATGCATGTATTGCATACACACACACAAACCTTTACTTGTGTGGTTGCTATCCAGAATAACACTGTTGTTAAGCAACTCTTGTCCATTATTGTCCCACCACTGGTCCAAGGTTACCCCACTGTAAAACAATACAAGATTCATGGTTTGGCAAGCGAAATGATTCACATTTCACAAAGGCGTGGACTCTTTATACTTAAACTGCAAGCATAAATGCACACCATAATAAAGTTGTTTGGGGTTAGATCACGTAAATATAAATGCGTCGTTAAACTCGCCACCACCCGACACAGCCAATTAGTAAGTATATTTACGCGATCTAACCCCAAAAAAAACCTATATTATGGATAATATTGGTGGCAAAAGCACACACTCGCACGAAGAACACAACTGATGCACGCGCGAACAAGCGTACACATTCATCCGCATTAGTGACCTGGTTTTTGCGGGCCAGAGAGACGTTGCGGCGGCAGTAGGAAAGTCCCCATGGTGGCATAGCACTGCCGCCTACAGAGGGAGAGTCAAGTACAACTACCCGCTGAGGCCCCCAGGGAAGCTCGTCCCCAAAGGCCCTGAAGGCAATGCTGCCCGGGTACCATGGCCTCTGCTGCACCTTGAGAATCGAGTGTACAAATAACTGGCACAACATGTACAAGGACAGTGCCGTACTAATAACGTACCAAAAACGTGGCCATCTACGAATATGGTGGCTTCTGTCAAAGTGCTGTGGAATTTCCACAACCAAGTGAGTTCCTCCCCCCCCCATCAGAGATAAGAAACGCCCCGCTGCCTTGATTGAGATACTGTTTTTAGACATCAGTTATTTTGTACAATAAAAATGCAGCAGTTGCGGTGATATAGTTTGTAAGGATGGCAAGCTCCCCTCCAGAAACATCAACGGTTATGTTTCATTCTCAAAACTTGCCACCAAGTGGAGTTATAAAACGCTTAGTACTTGGACCCAATCCGGTGCAGTTTTTTCATATTAGCCGCCTGTCTCGATGAAGCTCAGATAAGCCAGTATCTGGTAAGGCTGCCTTGAGAGATGAATGGCTTATCGAGTGGTACGCTGAAGCTACAGCACAGAATGATGAGTGGCAGCCGCTGCAAGGAGAGACTTAGTAGGCCACCTTTAACGGATGCATCTAAAACTACTGTAATTCAACCATGAAAAGCATAGAAATGCAATATAAAAATGCAGCAGCTGTGTATACAAATCCAAAAAGGCCACCTACTGCGCTGGAGTTACGTCCCCAACGTGCATTACTTTAGTATTTGCTTTGGGGTGGTTACCGCGATTATGTTGGCATGGGTTTAATTTGAGAGAGAGAGAGAGAGAGAAAAACCAGTGGTAAACATGCAAGTGTTTAAGACAAGTCTACACTAATGACTCTAACTCTGTGCAATGTACTTGCTCGGGCGGGTGGAAAATGCGCAGAATTCCGAGAGGGGCGATGCGCGCCTTGTGCAAGATCATCATCGGGTTCCAGCGAAGCCACGGACAGGCGCATGCATGGGCGTGGCACAACTGGCACTATCTCGCTGCAGCCACCTGCCGCGTGGCATCACTCACTGGGCTACGAGTCCACACTCGCAACTGCCATTGATATCCATTAGAAAACAAAAAGACCGTTCATACTCGCGTTGCTGGTAACGTTGGTTTTAATGAGGCCGTTGCGGCGAGATTTCAAACGCAAGAAAATGGATAGCGCGGGAGATCGTACTTGGTTGATTCACATGCGTTCCACGTCCCCCAGACGTGCCCACGCCAACACGCTACAGTCGAACTGAGGACACTTAACAGATTCGCAGCAGCCAGCTTTTGCGATACACGCCAGTGTGAAAATTTATGACACCACATGGGTTTGATGTACACGTGGTGTTAAGAGAGGGGTGCGGGGTCAGGGGATCTGGGCCAAAGGGTAGGGTGTGGAGTTGTTTGAGCAAATTCACCGATCAGTACACTCTAACCAGGGCATGACGATGTGTGAGATGGCACACTGTGGATTCTGTAAGCCAGTCGTGGGTGCAGACAATTGTGTTCGGGGTGGCAGGTGCAAGTAAGTAAATGACTAAGTTTAGGGCAGTACAGTATAACCTATCTTCAGAATTATGGGGATGAAGTCATGAGGTCAGGAATATCACTGGCCTTAATTCCTATGCGGTTCCACTAAGAAGTCGTATTTCATTCATTCGTAAAAGGATATGTCTCATTATTGGGCAGTCGCATGCTCGTCAGTGATTTACGGCAGGAATAGTTTACAATGAGCACATAACCTGGGTCGCAATGTAGAACGTACAGCATATCTATGGAACTAAAATTATTTTTTTAATTATGCCCTGACTCAATTATGTGACCCGATATATTTAACTGCCTTATGCACATGATGCCTATGACCAAATCATGCGGAATTCACCAAATCTCATCAGATCTTGGAAGCTAAGTGGGATTGAGTGTTGATAGCTACTTCTTGTATGGCTGATCGCCATGCACGCGAGGTTCTCATAGGCAGCTCGGGGCTGTGCTACGTTGTGGGCAGCAGAGGACATTCCAACAATCTATTGTTAGACTGTAATTCTATGTTCCCCACCTTAACTGGCACGCACCGACCACCGTGGTGAAGTACGGTTAAATAATGAACCGCATGGCATTGGGGAAGCCCTCATACATCTACGTATGAACATGTCCGGCCAGGTGAGTCACCTCCACTTATCATCCCTGCAATGTCAATGAAACGATCACTGCTTTAGGTAGTCGACAGTGGTCATGTTATAGAGAAACTGACTCTTCTAATGGGAGACACCTTAACTTGATGATATGAAGAGAAATTATAATAACAGTGTAAAGTATTCATTGTACTGTACATGAAATTAAGACATGATTGGTTCACAAGAAATACAACTCTCGGTATATGTGCAGCCTGTTTTGTGGCTGAGCACACTAATTTATTTAATGAAGTGGGACCCACATACAAATAAAACATCAAATATGAAATATCGGGGTCAGTTAAGCAGGGGCATCAAGAGATTTGTGTACCGCAATCGACACATTCATTCACAGGCAACGTACGCGTAAGTTGCATTCCATTGACTCGCTTAAAGTAGTAATTTGCCTTGCATTTTACACTCAAAGTAATTACTATTTATGTAGAATTCCATGAGCCATTTTTTCACCAGGAAAAAAGATGCAACTTCATTCTCACGTATAATTTTGGCATTGCGAGAGATATTCTAACAGATCCATCAACATATTTATTTATAGACGGCATATACATACACCCACACAGAAATATGCACGCAAGGACACCCTGTGTGCCGTGTGGGAATCACATTACATGGAAACTTAATTATCCCAAATGGCCACACACTATTGTGTGCTGGGTTCAGCGACCAGGTGGCCTCATGTGCAATGCTGATCACAGGAGCTTGCACGTTTTGCTATTTTCCTCTGTAGGAATTTTGCGACAATGGCAGGAAGGTTGCCTCCCAGGCGACACGCATTGTGTTCCACTGCTTGGCCCTGCCGTGCGCACCCGGCACCCTGCACCGTCGGGGGAACCTGCAAGTGTTTGTGTGCATTGTTTTTGCCACGAGGAAATTGCTCAATGTTTTAATTGGCGTGTTTTTAGGTAGCCCATTAGTGTGTTTAATGGTCTATGGGGTGTAGTGTTTGACAAAGCAGGAAAGTGGAAATTTCAGCTCCAGTCACTAAATGACAGCTTAGATGTGTAGATGTTCATTTCAGGAAAAGGAGGTGCTTGGTCTACTCTTCCATGCTGGCTAGATGCCTTGGAAGAAGCAAAGCGTGCATTACACCACGGGAGGATCAAACAAGGGAGCCTCTAAAATACATGAATTCTGCGTTTTGCATGGGGCTTTTTCTCCACCTCCAACCCCGACCTCTGCCATTAATATTAACATACCCCCACAGCCAAACTAAATCACTGAGAAAACAATTACAGCCATTGTGAGCAACTCATGTATACTGTTTCCTGAATCCAACTGGAAAATCCCATTATATTTTTTCTCTTTTCCTTTATGCGTCACAGCACTATCACGAAATGGAAAATGCTGGGATTCAAAAAGTACAGAGTAAACTGCTTTGACATATGGGAGGGCTACAACTGGCAAACAGCAAGTTGAGTGCCAAGTCCTGCAGCAGCCAGATCTACGACTCAGCAGCCCCTGCCAGGCAGACGGACCTTCGTCATCAGAGCACGTGCACAAGTTCGACACTGTCACAGGAACACACCTCACGCACTCACCACAGCTCAGTGGTCCTACTTTGTAAATATACGTGAGGTGTACTATTTCCCTTCGTAGTACTTAAGCAAAACAACAAATAATAGGCCTCGTGTTGGTGGTGTCACTTCATGTGCTCCTCCGTTCCTTGGTCCTCCCACTCGCCGCCGCCCTGCCAGACAAACAGCTCGAGTCACCACCAGCGAGCCCCGCCTGGCCACACTTCTGTCTAATTTCATTCGCATGCGCCTGCCCCAGTGTGGAACCGTCCTCGGTATAAAGTGTCCTGTTTGATTGCGCCATTTGTGGGCGGTTCGCCCAGCTACGGCAGCAACAGGGCCCGTGCCGCGTCTCATAAACACCGCGTTGATTCACGTTGCCCGCAAGCGTGTAGTGTCCACATGTGTCTGCGTTTTGCTCATTACCATATAAGCCAGAGATATGCTCTCGTATTGCGCAAAAGAAATATGGCTATTATGCTAGCATAATAGTTTATGATGAGTCTAGGGCAATGTTCTTCATTGCAAGGCCCGTGGGCCACTGGCGGCCCCTAACAATGCACAAATGTGAAAACACTCCCATGGTGCTGTCAAACCCAATGGTTTCAAATGGTGTGGTGGCCCTCAGACTGATGTTTTATCGCTGAAAGTGCCCCCCCCCCCGACACCACCTCTGAAAATGAGTGAACAACACTGGTCTAGGGTGCTCTGCACACAGCCTTTGTAGGGCACACTCTGGCATTGTTGGCTGGCACGGTCTGCACACACCATCATCATTAAGAGATAAACAAGGAATGTTTAATTATGGCCAGTTGTTACATGGTTGGTTCTCACCAGTTATTATCTGGCACCCTTGCTGTTGCAAATCACCAGTCTTTATCCAGTCATTTAGTAAAGTAAACAATTCCATCTAATCAGAAAATTATATCAACATTTCCATGTTTTCCTAAAGCAAAACATAACATTTCGTTTAGCATGGAATGAAAGCACTTTTTGTCAATGGTTCTATACACAGTCTAATATAAATAATGCAGGTAACATTTATACAGATTATAACCTGAACCACACTGGCTATAATTCAACTGGGAGGATTCTTTTCGTTGACAGAGAAGTAAATACTGCTTAATATTCGTGAACAACGGTGTCCATAAGCTGTATCCCTACCTCAATGCAGAATCCTCCTGACCCAAAACCTGCAACGCATTTGTAAATAAACATGTGGCCATTTCATAAATCAAATAAATTAAGCATGTAACTGCCGTAAAAAGTGACACTGTAGCCAGTGTTACAAATTCTAATTACAGCGAATGCTTTTTCTAATTTCATGTCCACAGCATGCATGACGACCTGGTGTTTACCTTTGTTTATGCTGCAGTTGCTACGAGAGACGTCTAAATTAGGAGCACATTTTGGCCCCAAATGTGCATTCAATTTGGGTAGATCCACAGCTGTTTTTCATGTACATTTCGTTCACGAGCTTGTGCAACTGCAGTATTCGTTCTATGTTTTTCCCATTTGAAATGTTCATTTCACCCAAATTTATAACATTGCGTTGTAAATTTTATTTAATCTGTAAAGAATACCCCCCCCCCACCCCCCAAAAAAAAGAGGACTGATTGTAATTCTGGAGTAACGCATTGGAATGTGTGGCGCCTGGCTGCAGGAGGGCTCCGACACACCCACGAGTGCCGTGCTGGCTCGACGTCGCCCACCTCCGGGGGTGGAAGCCGGGGAAGTCGAGGAGGGGGTGGACGCACAAGATGGGCAGGAGGGCGAGGCGAGCCCCACGTGGGAGGTGCTCGACCTGTCCGAGGACGAAGACCTGGAGATGATCGAGGCGCCCGGCAGCAAGACCGCACGCCTGCGCAAGAGCGGGCAGAAGGGCGTCGATACGCTGCGCAAAGCCTTCTCCCGTCACACCCTCGAGAAGCGAGTCAACAAGCTGGTGTCGCCCGAGAGGCGCGAGAAGATCCGGCAAACGCTCACGCTGAGGCCTGGCCACTCGGCACCCTCTCAGGAGGCCTCCGCAGCAGAAGGGCATGCGGATGAGGGTCAGGAAGCGCACGGGGAGGAGGAGATCTTCGTGAGCGATGGTCAGGCAACAGCAAATGCACCCGGAGCGCCCGAGAAGACCACCAACAAGCGCATCGACACCATGAAGAGAGCACTCACGCGCCAGAGCATAGAGAAGAAGGTCAACAAGTTGGGAATGAAGATCGTGCCACAAGATCGACGCGATAAGATCCGAAAATCATTTGTGCCTGAGCATAAAAAGCCAACGCGTGCCAACGTCTCGTCCTTCAAGGTGCCGCCTTTCAAGTTCACGGTGAAGAAGATCCGCGAGGGCGACGTGGTGGAGATGGAAGAATACCAGATCGACGCAGCCAACGTGGAGTTCTTGCAGAGCGACGGTTCCCTTTCTGATGTCAACATGGAGGAGGTGATGCAGTCGGCCGCGATAACCCTCGACTCGGACGGGAAGGCCGGCCAGACCGTGCCGCTGTCCTTCACCGTTCGGCTCGGGGAGAATGAGGAGCCAGCCGTCCTCACTTTGCAGCAGAAGTCTTAGGAGGTGAACGTTCATGCAAATGGAAAAGCACCGTGCAAACGAGTCCAAAGCCCCGCTACACTTGTGTTAAAGTGCCAAAATGTGATGTGCTGTAATGGTGAACACGTTGCCGATCAAACCGATTGAATGTTTACCACAGTGCTGCACCCTGCAAGACGGAATGTGTTTTATTTTTCAGAGATGGAGGGAGGAGGTATCGTGTAGGTTGTATTGCAACCACTGGGTCGTCGTAAAGGAAGTGATTTGAAGGCCAAAGAATAATTAGAAAGATGGCTACAAGATGAATGTTGCTAGTACGCTGCATTCAGTTTGTTTTAATAACGGATTGATTACATGCTGCAATGATACATTATCACCGTTAATGGAAAGTCCAAAATATATATGGGCACTGGTAAACATAATGTATCATTTAGCACAACAAAACCAAACAAATAGTGTTTTTTTTCCAGTATTAAAATGTCCAGTTGCATACAAATTAGAATTTAAGCTAACATAGCTTTGGTTGCTTACAGTACTCAGATGCCTCGTTTAATACATGCTTAAGTGCTCTTATACTGTAGTTCTGCATGATAGAAAATAAGCATATATAACATTAGCTTCATAAATGCAGTAAAATAAATAGTGATTTTACTTTGACAAGTATTTTTATGCTACAATCTATAACATCTCTCGCGTAAATATAACTTTAGTTGCCTTTATATTACCAAAGCATAGCATCAAATCAACATGTATTCATGGTTATCTACAAAAATGCAACTGAATATTGGATGAACCTAATAAAGCTTAATCTTTAAAATTACATTAACACAAGCAGTGGGGGTTTTTGTGTATGCGTCCATGTTAATTTGTCTTTAAATTAACCTAGACATGGATTGTTTTTTCCCCAAATGCATGCAGGGGGAGCACAACCAAACAGATTCTTGGCACATTACCAGTTTTCTCCTGCCTTCTTTGTGGCCCTATTAAAATAGTCAAATGCAGTGGCCTAATGGCGTCCCCGCAAATGTTCGAGGGCTCTGTTTCATCAAGAAATCCGTCATCAACATGACATTGTGCTCCTGAAAAAAATGTTATCATTGCCAGCACGGACAGGAAATCGATTTTGCCATTTAACCTCCACAGACATGGAGGCAAATCGCTGCATGTGGCATGCCACAGGCAAGGCAACAAATTAATGTACAGGTGGAATGGCTTCATTGGCGGGGCACCATCATTTATACAGCAGCCTACCCCAGCCCTAAAACGTCAGCACCCACGGGATTAGGCACAGCCAGCTACTGAGCATGTGATTTGCTGCCGTGAATGTCTTTGACCTTACTGCGATGGCATAGTGGTTAGCGCAGTGTGCTTCGAACATTGCGGCCCAACTTTTATTCTTGGCCATGGCTAACATCAGTGATAATTATCCGAGTAAGTCCTAGGCTCTCCGTTATATTTTTGACTTAACCTCAAATGAGTACCTGGGGCGGTGTGTAAACATCAACATTGGGGAGACAATTCGGCGTGGTGCTGGGCACAAGGCTCCCTCATCCCCCGTTCTGGCCTTCATAGGTGCTCATTAACAGCACTTGCCCGAACAGCTTGTGTAGGCATTATGGAAGAATGTTGTCTTTGTACATATATATAGCTTCAGACATGTTGCGCTTTCGATATGGACACGCCTAGCACAAAGAAAGCTGGCCAGGTGCCATATTCACAGATACCTATGTCACGTTTGAAAGGAAATGAGTTAAAATCCTGGTCGAGGTCCAATTCAGCCCGTTATCATTACTCCTGGACCAATAAAATTAGTATAATTTCTTGGCAAGTCAGCAGTTAATTGTCCTATTGAGAAAACTGTTTCCTGTCGATAGAAATGCGTTTTGTGTTTAGTTTGTTGTCCTTCCTCTGCACCTCCAATTAGCACAGTTGGCTAGATACGATGCAAAATAAGTTCAACATATACATAATGTCTACCACTGGCTCAGGACTATCATAACAATACATGCATTTCCCAATGCTCATTTGAGCATGGGAGATTATTTTTAGCAGTTGAAATGGTCTTAAGATTATCGAGTGAATGCCCTGTAGGTGTTTAGCGCTGCTGCATATTGCAATGCTAGATTTATGTGGCACAAGAATAGATGGAACTTTGCTTCCTCATGCACTCGTTAACCCGCACTCATGCAGAGCTCTGGTGCACCCCATGACTACATCCTAGGCATATAAACAGTTAAAAACGCACGGACAGATTGCTTTATTCAAACAATTTGCCCTTCATGCCAATCCTTTCCCATACGAAAACATCTCAAGATTTTTTTTCTTTTTTTTACCACAGGTTAAGTTGTTCGGGTCACTTTGCCATCACATACTTGCAATTCTATTATCCTGATGCTCAATTACATTCCAGTCAGAATAATCACCCATGATCAATCCATTGCTGGATGAAGGCATGCCCATGCCATCTCCATCCCACATGGTCATGTGATGCAACAATCCATCCATTCAGCCAGGATAATCATGAAATAAATCCGAGCAGCAGTGCCCACATCATCCCTGTGACCCATTAAAGCCAGTCATTAATGTCCTTAAATAATGAGCTGTTGCCTTAAAGACTCAAGTTGCAAAAAGTAATGACTTCCTGACACTATTGCTTTTTTATAAAATCGTTTATTGACTCGGTGATCCTGAAACAACCCTCTGTAATAATAACTATGAATGATGTGTCCCATAACAGAAACTAAATTCCATCACGTACATGTCCAGTCCTTTATCAATCAACTGTTGGATGAGGACCTCCCCACTCCGTGTTGGTAATGGGGTCTATTTAATACTTCACCAAGCTGGTCAGTATGGGTTGGTGAAGGTGAGAAGCATAGACGTGGGAGCACAAAAGTAGTGGATGAATGGAATTGCTACATTGCCCTCAACTGTCCACAACATAACTCCACAGCCTACAACACCTGTTATGTCCAGTAGTCGTCTATCTAAGCATTATCCACACTGCACCAATGGGGATTTCAGAACGCCACTCCAACATCTGAGAATGTGCAGCAAAAATACAACTGGCGGTACAGTATGTAACATGTGGGCCAGAACACTGGGATTTTGACTGACAGGTAAGGAGTGAAACCAAATCAATACACCCCAACACAATATGCACATTAATTTTGTAAATATATGCATGGTATAGTGGTTGCATGCCTTGTGGTCCACCAACACACGTGCCTCAAAGGAGATATTAAACACACAAGTTGGAATTGAGTCTCCTTGAAGATTACCAAAATTGTGTTTTTATGGCAGTACACACGGTTATTGTCGCCACTCATACCATTCATTGGAGAATCAATTGCAATTCATTCTCAACATTTCAAATTGGTTGAACGCCTTAATATGATGGCACATGGATTTCAAAAGACCCAGTAGAAATAAAAAACGAAGCATTCAGAAATACACGTGGGTTAAATATTTGCGGGGCAAATAGAATTCAAAATTACATCAAGCAAAAAAATTGTTTAGGGAGATGGGGTTTTTTTCATGCAGATTGATAGCATTTGAGTCATAACAACATCTACCAGAAACTCAACACATTTTCAAAATATTCTACTCCCTTTCTAAAAATGTGTTAAATATCACAGTACCATATTTACAAATCTTGATAAACTCTATGCGAGATGGCTCCCTTAAGTTGCATAAGAATTTTACATGTGGCTACTGATTACTGCTGGTGGTTTTAGTAGGTTTTTACCCTTTTAACTGGTACAAAACTGACACCTTTATTCAAGGCATCATGTTTGCAATGACCACAACACAAGTAGTCAAAAAAGCAAACAAAAAGAAGCAACTCTGATAAGGATGATAATATGCACTGAGATCTCATAGTGTAAATGCTTACCCCGAGCTCTCAATACTCTGATATTGCACTGTGTTTGAGTTGTACGCCTTCTGGTGTCATCTGGCCCTACACCAATGGGGACTAGGCTCTAAAGAAAGCCGTCTCGGGTGTGGGCCAATCAACTTCAAGGACAGTGCATATTATCATCCTTATCAGAGTTGCTTCTTTTTGTTTGCTTTTTTGACTACTTGTGTTGTGGTCATTGCAAACATGATGCCTTGAATAAAGGTGTCAGTTTTGTACCAGTTAAAAGGGTAAAAACCTACTATTATATTTTGCCACTGGTAAAAGAGATCTCATAGTGCTGGTGGTTTATTAGCTGACATCGAATGCAGAATTCAAAGCGCAACAGTTTGAAGGCCTCATTGTGAATTCAACACATGCCCAACGGACGCTGCAGCAATTGCAGGCTTGAGGTCTAAGGTCTGAATGTGTTATTTTAAATGGATAAAATGATGACACGTGTGTTAACTGTGCCACATGTTATCACTTGTGATAAGGTTCTAATTTAAAGCCTTTGTCTGAATTCTAAAAAAGACCTTGAGCTGCATTCAAGGATAAAACTGTAGTGCTTTTACAAGAAGAATGGCAGTCACAAATAAAAGCCTTTTTTTGCTTAATACTGCACATTGTTCACTACCTGACAATCTGGGAAAATATAGCTTGAAGAGTGACAATCAATTGGGGCCACAACATAACTTATTATTATTCCAAAAAATCTTGACAACTTGAAATATCCGCTCAGTAGTCTTTTTTGCATAAATCTCAGCATAAGAGCCACTCTTGACACATTTATCTGTATTTCCAATCGGTACCTGAGGCCGCTGAGCATGAAGATCTATGAAAACCAATTTCAGCAGCAGCAGCAGCACTGCCCCACTATCTCCCTCCCACTGCATCACCCCACCCGGTTCCTGCACTTAGCCCCCTAGACCCTGCCTTGCACGCTTCTATACATATATAATGTAACATTCTGAAGAGTCTAAAGCACAGAGTTTCCATTCTGTGCAAGTCAGCACACTAATAATGGGAGTCTCGATGTTCACAAGGTCAACAAAACAATGGTGCCCCTAAAGGACTGGAGGGGGAAAGTCAAAGGAACACTTCACAGTACTGCGATGAGGGATGTGACTGTTTCCATAGGGCCTGTGTATCCATTGATCCACACAACACTCACAGTTTAAACATGCTACAGAGCGGAATGTAATTTTCTTACACTCTCCATCAGGAAATAAAACTTGCAGTAATCCAAGGCGCTAGCCAAAGAGAAACTGTACTTCATTCCATGAACATGAATCACCACAAAAATAAAATCAACTCCATTTATAGTTTTAAATCTGTCCTGGCGTCGAGTGGGTCCGCAAACGGCTCCAGCCAGGCTCCCTCCGGCCCCACCCAGCTCCCTAGGCCCTCTCTCCACCACGTCTCCTGCTCCTCTTAATGCCCTGAATGGGACGGGCGAGCACAGTGTGTTTTGGCTACAGTAAATGGCAACGCTCACTTGCATTGCATTCCGGACTTTAAAAATAGGATGCACAGCCGTGGGAGGACAAGCCATGTTCACTGGTGGTCACAAGCGTGGCACGCAAGTGAGCACCTGTCAGCGCCACATTGTGCTTCTGAGTGCTGCGACGACTAAAACCACGCTCTCGACGAGGCCCCCCACCCACAGGACACCAGCCCTTGACACTGTACGCATGAAGACGATGATTAGATTTTGACTTGGTGAACACATTTAATTTCAACATGAATACACCAGACTTGTATAAAAAAAAACATTACAATTCTTCACAGCTTCTTTAAACGAGCGGGCACACAGATTTGATATTGATGTAAAACAAAAAGACAAATAAGTGTGTCAAATTATCACGTTTACTGCAGTGTGCATACGGCAGGTCAACACTGCCATGGCTATAGACCAGTGC